TGAGCCCAAACATGAGATATGTCCACTGCGGGGAAAAAATATACAGTAATCGCAAATGTGTTTAGCAATCTTCCGTGCCTTGTCCGCGGGGAGGAGATCCAGCGCGCGCTGTAGTACAGGCGACTTGGACGCTGTAATGTGACATGCAACACACAGCTCCTCCGGAAGATTGTCGTCACACAACACGTCGTCATCACTGCCAGAGTCAACTTCCTTATGCCTCGATGGATGGCAGCCACTGCATGACGGCATGCCGTGGCGACGACGCTTGTGTTTCACGTCGGATCCTCGGTGAGCACGGCCATCAATGCAGCCTCGACACGCGCAAAAGCCCTGGCATTGTTGTCGCAGGCCCTCATGAGCTGGCGAAGCTCGCAACATGACCCGTCCTCCCCTCCATCCGCAACCTCTTCTTCCATACCATCGTCAACGTCTCCCGCTGCTGCTTCTCCGCCCAGTCTGCATTAGTGATCGTCGTCCGATGACTCCGCCGCGTTGCCCTCTGCCGGCTGCTCTTCCCGGCCATCATTCAGGATGTCATCAATGGACCGTTCTTTCACACTGTTGGCAGCCACGGTCATGTTCACCGCGTCGTTATCCGAGTCGCTCTCGGACGAAAGATCCATTGTGCGCTTCGGGTGCGCGCTGGCTAACGTCGAGGACCTGGTATCGGCCGAGCGGGACCCTTTACCACAAGGGGGTGCAAAGAGGGGATAAACCTTCATAAGGTGTGACACCATTAGCATAAGTGAGGCGTGTGGTTACTACGAAAATGACTCAGAGTCCACTTTTTGACCTCGGCCAATATTTCCGCCAGCACTGAAGTTGAAATGGCCACGCTCGCGCCCGGCGGGGCTGGCCCCCCTGGTGGCCCACCTACAACCGTGCATCAAGTGGTAGGTCGATCGCAAATAGGCGAATGGGACTGAAACTCGCCCCGAGCACCAAGAGGTTTGCGAATCCATTGGGTCGGTATCACAGGTCCAAAATTTAGCTGAAAATTGAATGAATGACTGATCAAGAATTGAACGAATACAACCAAAAACTCAATGCTATTTGTACCTACGAGAACTCTAGGGAAGGGTAACTAGGAACTTCTAAGAGAGTTCTAGAACTGAGTGGAACCGTACATAAGAACAGCACGGTAGGGATTCTAAAGATACGGTGACGGTGACGGAACACTCCACGCAATAGAAAACGTGTCATGCAAGGAAAGTCCAAAACACTCCATAACACAATTGGTATAGAAGAAATACTTCAATGTGTAGGGAAAAGTGTAAGGATTTCCAAGAAAGGAAAAACTCAGAAAATAACACACAATAAATAGCAAATAGCAAATGGTTGTGAGCAAGGATTTGGCAAGCCTTATCCTCTCACACTTCCCCCTCTCAAAACTAGGTAGACGCTATAAGCGCCCAGTTTTTCGGCAAACACAGAGGGTTATGAGGCTCGAGGTAGTCAAACAAAATCAAGCCAACAAAGTTGTGCTTGAATAGCAGCTCCTTTGTACTTCATTCCACACACTCGTGAGCTGTACGTGTGCAGGTAGTAGGTATCCCATGTTGAAGTATTGGGACGTGTGACACTCCATCTCAGGTTGCAGAGTTGCGGTCAATAGAATCCAGCTGCACTATAGCATGCTGTAGCGATGATAACTTTTTCATGTGTTCAAGAAACCACCAAGCGTTCAAGGTTGGCGTAGCAATCATGTAACGGTGTGTATACAGTAATAATACTTTAACTGTTGCGTGCCGTTGCAAAGAGACTTACTGTAATGCCAAGTGAATGTAGTAGGATGATGTCATTATGCTCATCAGTGCAACATCAATCTATGGTCATGGTCAAGGAGATTCAACCCATTTGACTCCTCTTCCATTTCCAGTAGGCTGTTGGTGACAAGGATGCTCACTCCAGTATGCCTCATGCATGTCCATTTTAGCACGGATTCCATCAATTGGCCTCCGTGTCTTGATGCACGTATAGGTGTAGGTCCACTGGTCGTCATGTGTCTTCTATCCGTTGATGTTATATTAACAGCTTCGATGACGTTGATGTCGTTTCAGCTACTCAGCATCAATATTGAATCTTCTCCAGATCTGCTTGTAGGGGTGCCATTGGAGTAACGCGGACACCTCTATTCATAGTAGCCTCGGTGTTCCGGATTACGCCTATGAGCTTCCATGGAGGTGATGCTGGTGATGGATTGGTTGGTAACGCAAGTTTTATGACTCAGTTGAAGTTCATTGGGCGATGAGGACTCGAAGATCGTCGTGGTCCTCCCATCCTTATAAGAGTCTCTTTCTCTAAGCTCCTGAAGGCATGTGGCACAACCACATGGGTCCAAGGCGTAGTGGTATTTCCATCCCATAGGTTGGAGATCGTAGTGCCAGGCCGGGTCTTGTAATCATGCTGGAATAAGATCCATTGGCATCTCCATTGTTTGGAAGAATATCCATCAGGGTTGGGGGTTGCTGTAGTTGTTTGCTGCGACGGCAGTGGCGGTAGACACTCGCGGCGGCAACTGCTACAACGGATGCAATCGTGTAACGATTCGAAGAAGAATCCATCCGCTCCCTCTTCAGTATAGAGTCTTCCTGGTGGGTGTAACAGTGTAACTACCAGGGAACACGTGCGTCTTGATGCACACGTGTCAGTGCATTGCTGCCGGTGATTGGGTCGCTCGAGGGTATGAAGATTACTTGCTTCTCCCCTCGTATCTACGGGTAGCAACTACTTGGTATGCTCATCCGTGCTCCCGATGTACGGTCGATAGAGCGCGTAATTGTTTTGTTGCAATTTGCATTTGCCTCATTTGTCAACATCATCGTGTTGCTCGGCGTTCTCCTGTGTCTTCGAAGTTATGTTGAGGTTTGTAACGCTTCGGCTTCTGGTAGAATCGCCTCCAATGCATATACCGTAGGGTCGCAGCTGTGCGAGTGATTGCTGGATTCGAGGCAATGACTCCTCGGTCAGTCAACCCTCGTGCCTTTGTGTGATAGCATAAATACCTGGAATCGTGGTCACATGATTGGGATGTCGTCTCTTGAGGTTGATGTCAAACTGCTCCAACCAATCACTTCGTATGGCTGGGATTCGTAGTGAACATTAATCGATCAGCTCCTGTGACGAAGTAATGTTTCGCTGTCCATGACGAGACATAGTAACTGCGTCGTAGTTGTTTGTAAAATCTGCTCCTTCGCACCAACTTTTGTTGGCGAGGATTTTGCAAGAAAAACTGCTACTTTGCAATCCGTAGTATGTATATTTGTTGGGCAATTTTGTATCTTCGTTGTAGAGCGATAGAATTATGCAAGCCGGTTTTGGTGTTGGAGATGTTCGGCTGCTTTGTTGGTGTACCACAAAAATCTGCTCCTTTGGTGAGGTACGAAATTATGCTTCGTTGGTGTCGATTTGGCTTCAAACGAAGTTTCTGACCTCGCAGAAGGAATGTTGTCGACTCTGCGACTGTTCGAATAGCCCGCATCCGATGTGTCGCGACGCACAAGTTGTGACCCCCGGACGTCGTTCGCCCATCGACTAGTCTGGTGCTGCATCTATGCCGTTGAATGGATCACGATCGGACAATCTGCATTCTGCGACAGAATTTCTGCGAGTTGATGTTACCAAATAGGTGTCAGATGCTGGTAATTCTGACTGTGAAGAAACTTTGTTGCCGAAATTCCTGAAATGATGAGGAGATCCGAATTTTGAGTTATAGAGATTTCATATGTCTGTCTGAACATTCAGACGGAAGATTTACGCTACAAATTTTACCTCTCACAGTTTTGCCTTCTAAATCCACGTAATTTTATATTCATAATTTCTGCCACGTTGAAATTCTCGCATGGATTTCGTCCACAACTTGCCCTAAGTCATGAAGAACTGAGGGTCTGGTGCACCAAGTTGTGCAACTTGCCCGAGTTCCTCTATTCAGGCTGGTTATGGATTTTGTGAATGATTGAAAGGCCCGTCGCAAGTCTCTTTTCAAGTGAAATTCCTGTGGAATCCACAATTGGTAGTTGCGCTTTTTCCATAGGCAAGTACCACGTCATGAATTGTGAGTTTCTATCACCGACCCTCTCTATAGCAATCAAAAGTTTCTGAACTTCCATGAAAGGTGGAGAATGGTTCAAGCAAATCGCTCGTGGGGGGCGAAAAGAACTGGGGGACTGGAAAAAAAAAATCGTCAGCTAGCGCCAAAATCAATCCGTAGGGGTGGGAATGGAATCGACAATCCCGCAGTTTCGCACGGGCCAATGGCTTTTGAGCACGTCCACAAAAAAGATGATGAATGGCTAGTCAGCTCCCTCACACAGCCCCCAATACACATCGGCGTTTGATTTTTGTGAAGGGTCATCCAGCTCCCTCACACAGCCCCCAACACCATTGGCCTCCGTTTTTTTGTGAAGGGCCAGTTAGCGTCCTCAGAGCCAACAGGAAGTACATTATCGGGTCCTGATTTTGGCTAAGGGCCTATTAGCGCCCTCAAACCGCTCTCAGACGAAACCATATGCGCTGTCTGCAGACTTGAATGAAATATAACGCGTGGTCTTAAATTTCGGTCGAAAAAATAGCATCGCTCCTCTAGGGTTTTCGATCAGATGGATTTTCTAGGGTTGTCTAAACTTTCAGATGAACCTAAAAAATCAGGTCTGAAAATCATACCATCAGACTGATTTCGTTTGATAAAATGGACCGTGGGAGCAACCCTGGTTGCTTATGAGTAAGGGGAATTCAAATGCAGGGTGTGGTAGACACTATGATATCCCCATATTTTGGAGGCCTTCTGTTTTTGCTCGCTTGTTTGTGCACTCAGAAGAGTGTGGTAAATGCTTTAGGATAATGCTGGATTGTAATCTCGAGTTTTATAAACGCTGTCTCTAGATTCCCGAATTCGCGTGTAGATGAATCTAGGGTTACGAGCGGGTCACTCGCTAATAGGAGGAACGCTTATGTCGCCGGTGACTCATGTTGCCTTAGATATGGTTTCAACCAGATAGATAATGCCGTAGTTACAGGAGGCCAGGCAGTGGTATCACTAGAATAAGAGAACTGCGAGCGTTCCGGCCGGCCCTCATCATGCTTGCCTCCGTCGCTCCAAGCGCGCCGACATCGTCGTGCGCTTTCCCGTCACCGTCAACGTCATTGTCAGCGTGCCCAGCCCGAAAGGGCAGCCGACAGGGAGGACCAACCACTCGCCGATTTCAGTCTCTGTCTCCGTCTCCGTCACCGTCTCCGTTATCGTTATCGTCGCCGCCGTCTACTAGAGCCTTCGTCCCTCCAACCCAACGATCTTCCTTCAGTGGCCCCTCCAGCACTCCCCACAACCGCCTCGCCGGAACTTGCTCTCTTACCTCCCAGACTGCCCAAATTTCCGCATCCTCCGCCGCCATCCTCGCATCCCTCATGTCTCGGAAAAGTAAAATCTCCGCTTTGACGTCCCCGCCTGGTGCATCCGCCGCATCTGGCACCGTGCCTGGCGCCGCAGTTGCCGCTGGCGCTGCAGCCATTCCCGAGCTGAGGAGCGGCAGAGGGAGGGGAAGGGTCGTAGCTGCTCGTGCGAGTGGTGGAGCAGCTTCGGAATCAGGCTCGGAATCAGGCTCGGCAGGGGCGGGAGGAATGGTGCTGGCAGCTGTGCTCGTGGCGTGTATTGGAGCATTCGCCTTTGGTTACCACATAAGGTATTGTTCCTGGTTACGCCATGATTGTTACACCATGCACATATAGATGTCTTGCCGACATGTGTGGTTGGTGCGAAATTGCACCAAACAATACCTTCTTCTTTCGTTCTTTCTTTTTTCCATAGCCCACTTGCACGTTCTTTTTATATGCCCACTCACTCAGCTGAGCTCGTTCCGTTATCCCATCTGAGCTCCATCCGTGTTCCGTCTCTCCCTTCCTCTCCTCTCTCTCTCGCATCACTGCCAGCGTGGTCAACGGGCCGTTGGATGAGATCCTAGTCAGCATAGGGGCACCGGGCAACTCCCTCGTGGGAGGTACTGCTGCTCAACTCCCATCCATTCCTGTCTCTCTCTTCCTTCTCAACTTCTGTTCGCTCCGGACTTTTATTGCCTTGTTGGCCCTTTGGCCGTTTCGCCCATGATGGGTGTGGAGGCTGGATCTTGATTTCTCTCTCATGGCTCACTCAACTGCTTCGATTGATTGTTGCCAAGGGGATGGTGCTTCGTGACTACTGCTGCTTGCCCCTGTGGCAAGGACGGTCCGGTCAATTCATTCCTCACCATACCCGTGCCTCATATCCCTTGGCCTATCCTTCATCCTCCGCTGCTGTTCAAGTTGAGTGGTAAGCGTATCTCTACGCACAGCAGCACTCAGCGCCCTCGCTGCGCTTTCTCCGTGGTCCATCCCTGCTCTGCTCCTTCCTCTTCCTTCCTGCCCCTCCCTGCCCCTCCCTGCCCCTCCCTGCCCCTCCCTGCCCCTCCCTGCCCCTCCCTCTCCATCCCTCCTCTCCACGCCCATCAGGTTGGGTGGTGAGCGTGTCGCTGCTCACTGCAGCGTGTGGCGCGCTCTCTGCGGGCTGGCTGGCCGACTCAGTGGGGAGAAAGGCTGCCTTCCAGCTGCTCGCCCTTCCCTTGGCGATAGGCAGTGTTCTCAGGTGAATGGCGAACACTTGATTGAGCTGCACTCACACTCATTCTTACCTAGCTGCTGGTTGCCTGGCTGTCTCTGTGGGAAGGAGGGCTGCTTTCCAGCCACTGTTGCCGCTAGCAGTGGAAAGTGCTTTCAGGTAAAAGCTTTGGGACAGAGGAGACGCATTCCAACTACTGCCAGTACCACTAGCTTGCAGATAATGCTTGCAGATAATGGCTTGCAGATAATGGCTTGCACATAATGGCTTGCAGATAATGGCTTGCAGATAATGGCTTGCAGATAATGGCTTGCAGATAATGGCTTGCAGATAATGGCTTGCAGATAATGGCTTGCAGATAATGGCTTGCAGATAATGGCTTGCAGATAATGGCTCTCAGGTTTTGGTTTTCGAGTGAGGGCTTTTGGGTGAGGGCTTTTGGGTGAGGAGGGCATCACCCTACGTGTTTCGGATGACCTGTGCCTAACGCGTCTCTGCCATGTGGTAGTACATTCCTGAGTCTCTTTTGAGCAGGCAGAGACTGCGGTGTCAGTGGAGAGTGCGGATATTCTTTTTGAGTAGAATGTAAGCTAGTCTTGCTGGATACGAGTCCTGCACTAGTACTGTAGGTAGCATGGCTGTGGGACGTTATCCAATGGTGGAGACTCAGAGGTAGGTTACTCGATCAACATCCCACAGCCACTCTAGCTACAGTACTCGTTCAGTGCCATTGCCCTTGTTCAGTGCCGTTGCCCTCGTTCAATGCCGCAGCGCAACCTTTCTCACTCCACCATGTCTGTCTCCCCCGCCGTCCCAGTGCCACAGCCGCGTCGCACCAGGCCTTGCCCCCACATTCTGTGCCTTCCTCTCCCCCCTTGGGGCTTCCTACTCCGTTCCCCTCTCCGGTGCCACAGCCGCCACGCCCCTCAGATGCTCATTGGTCGAGACTGGAGGAGCCTTAAAACACTCCAATCACATTTTGACTTGCTCTCCTCCCCCCTTATTCTTCGCCCCTTCCCTCTCCCCCACCCCCCCTCCCCCCCCCCGCCCCTCCTCCCCCTGCCAGCGCCACAGCTGCGTCCATCCCCCAAATGCTCGTCGGTCGAGCGCTCACAGGGCTGGCCTTTGGCGTCATCTCCTGCGTTGTGCCCGTCTACATCTCCGAGGTGCGTGCATGCCCGTCTACATCTCCGAGGTGCGTGCATGCCCGTCTACATCTCCGAGGTGCGTGCATGCCCGTCTACATCTCCGAGGTGCGTGCATGCCCGTCTACATCTCCGAGGTGCGTGCATGCCCATCTACATCTCCGAGGTGCGTGCATGCCCATCTACATCTCCGAGGTGCGTGCATGCCCGTCTACATCTCCGAGGTGCGTGCATGCCCGTCTACATCTCCGAGGTGCGTGCATGCCCGTCTACATCTCCGAGGTGCGTGCATGCCCGTCTACATCTCCGAGGTGCGTGCATGCCCGTCTACATCTCCGAGGTGCGTGCATGCCCGTCTACATCTCCGAGGTGCGTGCATGCCCGTCTACATCTCCGAGGTGCGTGCATGCCCATCTACATCTCCGAGGTGCGTGCATGCCCGTCTACATCTCCGAGGTGCGTGCATGCCCGTCTACATCTCCGAGGTGCGTGCATGCCCGTCTACATGCCTGTCTGCATCATTCCCATCCCATCTGTATGTATGTCACCTCTCGTGTGCCCACCATCCCTCCCATCACCTCTCGTGTGTCCACCATTCCTCCCATCACCTCTCGTGTGTCCACCATCCCTCCCATCACCTCTCGTGTGTCCACCATTCCTCCCATCACCTCTCGTGTGTCCACCATCCCTCCCATCACCTCTCGCGTGTCCACCATCCCTCCCATCACCTCTCGTGTGTCCACCATCCCTCCCATCACCTCTCGTGTGTCCACCATTCCTCCCATCGCCTCTCGTGTGTCCACCATCCCTCCCATCGCCTCTCGTGTGTCCACCATCCCTCCCATCACCTCTCGTGTGTCCACCATCCCTCCCATCGCCTCTCGTGTGTCCACCATTCCTCCCATCGCCTCTCGTGTGTCCACCATCCCTCCCATCACCTCTCGTGTGTCCACCATCCCTCCCATCGCCTCTCGTGTGTCCACCATCCCTCCCATCACCTCTCGTGTGTCCACCATCCCTCCCATCGCCTCTCGTGTGTCCACCATCCCTCCCATCACCTCTCGTGTGTCCACCATCCCTCCCATCACCTCTCGTGTGTCCACCATCCCTCCCATCGCCTCTCGTGTGTCCACCATCCCTCCCATCACCTCTCGTGTGTCCACCATCCCTCCCATCGCCTCTCGTGTGTCCACCATTCCTCCCATCGCCTCTCGTGTGTCCACCATCCCTCCCATCACCTCTCGTGTGTCCACCATCCCTCCCATCGCCTCTCGTGTGTCCACCATCCCTCCCATCACCTCTCGTGTGTCCACCATCCCTCCCATCGCCTCTCGTGTGTCCACCATCCCTCCCATCACCTCTCGTGTGTCCACCATCCCTCCCATCGCCTCTCGTGTGTCCACCATCCCTCCCATCGCCTCTCGTGTGTCCACCATCCCACCTTTATATATTTACTGCCTCGGTGTGTGGCCGTCTTGGCGCGCAGAACTCCTCCCATCTCTGCTATCCGTGCCAGCTGCATGCTTCCACCATTCCCCTCATCCCATCGCTGCCATTCCCCTCATCCCATCGCTGCCATTCCCCTCGCCCTGCCTCCGTGCAGATCTCACCAGCGCCAGTGCGCGGCCGTCTTGGATCACTCAACCAGCTGGTCATCTGCACTGGCATTCTCACCGCACTGCTTGCCGGCCTGCCGCTCGCTGGCAACCCATTGTGGTAGGCTGACTACGAGTGGCGTATGATTGTCCAGCATAGCAGTGCAGCCGTAGCCCCCTCAACCATCTGCCTTGGCATTCTCGCTGCTCTTTGTGCTGGCCTGCCCGCTGCTGGCAACCCACTGTGGCAGTTTGCACTGGACGGGTTGTGCCGTGCGTGATCACCTGCCTGCATGCACGGGCCGTGTGATGCAGTACTAGCTGGTTGGCTGGGAGGCCCCCCAATGGCCGTCCGCCTGAATGTGCTCTGGTTCGTTCACTCTGTGACGCTTTCTGGGCCATGCAGGGTGCTACCTTGGAACAACCTGTCCCGCAAGTCCCTTCATCGCTTTGCGCTCCTCCCTCTCGTGCCCCTCCCTCTCGTGCCCCTCCTCCCGCCCCTCCCACCAATCAGGTGGCGCCAGATGTTCTGGATTGGAGCGCTGCCAGCTGTCGCCCTTGCTGCTGGCATGGCATGGGCGCCTGAGAGCCCCAGATGGCTGGCTAAGGTGGGTGATGTATGGATGGTAGCATGTGATGTATGGATGGTAGCATGTGATGTATGGATGGTACCATGTGATGTATGGATGGTACCATGTGATGTATGGATGGTACCATGTGATGTATGGATGGTACCATGTGATGTATGGATGGTACCATCTGATCTGATGTATGGATGGTACCATGTGATATGAGGGATGTTGTGTACTGCTGGCATGGCATGGGGGCCTGCGAGCCCTAGAGGTTGGCCAGGGTGGATGTCTGCATGTCCATGGTGGGTGTCTGCATGTCCATGGTGGGTGTCTGCATGTCCATGGTGGGTGTCTGCATGTCCATGGTGGGTGTCTGCATGTCCATGGTGGGTGTCTGCATGTCCATGGTGTGTGTCTGCATGTGCAGGGTAATGGCGTGTCCTAAGAGTTCATTTACAATTTGATTGATGGTTCAGTTACCCGGTTTTGGCATGTAACCACAGAAGGGACATGCTATCGGGACACATATTAGAGAGTACGCCATCCAGGGTTGTAGGTCGGACGTGTGACAGTACAGGCAGAAAACGCCTCAACATGCTAACGGGGGTACGATTTGTGGAACTGCGCGTGTCCCCCAGCCAAGGTGCAAAAAAACGGTTTCCGTATTAAACCGTCCGTTTTTTACGGTCGCTTTATTCGGCAGATTTATGCAAATTCTACCGTTATTTTGGTAAAGTTTTTTTCCCCCAGGTTTTTTTCTTTCTTTCTTTCTTTCTCTTTCTTTCTTTCTTTAACCCTAAACAAAAAAAAACCGCTGCGAAACAGAGGGCCTGGTGGCGGCGACAGCTGACGTGCATCTAAAACACCATCCTCGTCCTCCTAGACCTCCTTTCATTGTCCTTCTCGCCCTTCTTTCACCCTCCTCCTCCTATTCCTCCTACTCGTCTCCGGCTCAGCTCCTCCTCCTATTTGTCCTCCTCACCCTAGTCCTCCCCTTCCTCACTCTAGTCGCCCTCCTCCTCACCCTAGTCCTCCTCGCCCTCCTCACCCTCCTCGGTATAAAGCGAACTTCCGTTATTTACGGCGGTATAAAAAAACGACCGTATAAATCGGCCGTTTTTTTGCACCAGTCAGAAAACACCACTTTTGACCTCGTATTAAACGGCCGTCTTATACGATTCCGTTTTATATGGTAAAAAAAAGTTAAAAACGCCGTTTTTTTGCACCTTGCCCCCAGCTGACCGTGTTTTGCGGCCACGAAATTTGCGAACCCCAAGGATTTTCCTAAAGCCCCGAGTTACTCTCTCAGAGGCCACGACAGGGGGTAAACATCCGCAATTAAGCACAAATTGCGGATGATCTTTCTGGATAAACAATCGACTGGCCGTTTTGAAGCCGTTCAGGGGCATTTCTGATTCGGCGGTCTAAACCACAGCCAGGACAATGTGCAAATGCACGCACTCAAATCTCGTGCAATAAAGGTTTCTAGACTTCGAATCGGGGAGAATCTGTTTCCGAGAAAAAAAAAAAAAAAAAAAAAACCAGAAAGCTGTGCTCCCAAACAAAAAGGTAACCGGATAGCGGGTTTTTTTGTTTCCGTGCGATACACTTCGGTTTCCGACAATTTGTTCCAGGACCAGCGGGAACACTTCCAGGATCCGATTCCTTTTTTGTTTGTAATCAAGTACCGTTTGTTGAACTGTGTTTTGTTACGTCAACGGCATGTACAGTCAACCAAATGAACGCTTAGGACACGCCCTAAGTGTTGGTGAGATAGTTGGATGCACAGCTGGCATGGCATGGGCGCATGAGAGCCCAAGGTGGTTGGTGCGATGCGTACATGTGCAAGTAAGGTGGCATGTATTGATGGAGTGGTTGGATGGCTGCTAACATCTTGTTTGTAGGCGCCTCAAAACCATGGCTAGCATCTTGTTTGTAGGCGCCTCAAAACCATGGCTAGCATCTTGTTTGTAGGCGCCTCAAAAATCATGGCTGGATGGCTTCTGGCGTCACATGGGCGTTTGAGTGTGCTAGAAGGCTGGCTACGGTGAGAGGTGCTGCGTATGTGGCATGATGGTGTGCACATGTACGCATGTGGCATGATGGGTGTGCACATGTACGCATGGCACGATGCATACGTGCGCCACACAGCTTCTCCCTTCTCCTCTGTATTGTGTCTTGCCCTTTGTTTTCCCCCTCCCCCTCTCTATCCATGCACCCGGTGGGAAGGAAGGACGAGGCAGAGCGGCAGCTGAATGGGCCGCTGGGTCCCTCATCCCCTGTGCTGCCGGTTCTGCTATAAGTGCTGACATCCTTGTTGCTGCTGCGGCTGCACCCTCCTTTCCCCTCCCTGCTCCCTGCACCGCACACGCCAGGTCGGCAGGAAGGACGAGGCAGAGCGGCAGTTGAAGCGCCTGCTAGGCCCGGCCCATGGTGCTGCTGCTGTGGCTGACCTTGCGTCCTCCGCGGCTGAAAGTGCTGGTGCTGCTGCTGCCAAGGGTGCTGCTGGTGATGGATTGGAGCGTGCAGAGGCAGGCGTGGGTGCGGCAAGGAGGAGAGCAGACGAAGCAGCTTCCGCCTCCCTGCAGACTCTCTTTTCGAATCGCTATCGAAAAGGTGCGCAGGAAGATGAGGCAGCGTTGAAGAGGCAGCGTTGAAGAGGTACCGGCGATGAGGCACCGTTGAAGCCCTCTGGCCCTGCCGGTCTAACGATGCTGCTGACGTGCCTCCCTCGTTGCACAATCGGACCGGCCGTCCATGGCTCTCTTGCCACACCTCTTTGTTAGATTGTAGCCTGCTAGGCTGGATTCACATTTTGGTGTAGAGTTGGGTTATCCAACCCAAATGTGGTCCCCCACGTTTGTCCCAACCCCAACACTCCAGGACAAGGCTGCTTGACCAACACTACAGGAAAAGTTGGTTGACCACCACTTTAAGACAGCTTTAGTTTGGCCTCTCGCCAACCCTCTCTTCCTTCCTGCTTTGCCATGCACTGTAATCGAGCCTTTGGCTCCCGATCATACTTTCAGTTACTAACACTCTTTCCCCTCCCTCTTGTTCCAGTGGTGTTGCTGGCGATGCTCCCATCCGCCCTGCAGCAATTTGCCGTTATCTACTACTCCTCTACAGTACCTCTACTACTCCTCTACTCTCCCCCCCCCCCCCCCACTCCCCACCCCACTCTCTCCCTCCTGCCCCATGTTCCTCCTCCTCGCTCCCCAGTTCGCCGGCATCAACGCAGTCATTTACTACTCCTCTGCTGTCTTAATTGTTAGAGATAGGCTGCAATTCGGTTGGCACAACTTTGTGTTGGCAATTTGTTGGTTTTAGGGATATGCATATTTGTTAGGTTGGGTGTAGCTATGCTTTCATCACCAACCTATCCCAACCCAATCCATCCCAAATCCTCACGATTTGGGAGGATTCCCTTGGGATTACCTCCGATTCTCCCTTATCCCTTCCCATCCTCTCCGATGCTTGGTACTTAAGGATGTATGCTCTTGCTCATTCTATCAATGAAGTTCTCAGTTTCTAATATTAATCTCCCTCCCTTCCGCTCTACTTCCCTTGTCGCTAACCCTGTGGTGCTGCTGGGAATGATGCTGTTCGCCCTGCAGAAGTTCACAGGCATGAACGCAGTCATCTTCTACTCCTCTGCTCACTTGACCTCTCCTCCTGATCCCCTTTTATCCTGTGAACGCGTTCCCTTCCCCACCAGTGGTGCTGCTGGGAATGATGCTCTTCGCCCTCCAGCAGTTCGCCGGCATCAACGCGGTCATTTACTACTCTTCTGCTGTCTTCCGCACCGCCGGCATTCAGTCTGACGTCGCTGCCAGCACACTCGTGGGGCTTGCTAACGTTCTAGGTATGGTGCTGTAATCTTCTGACTTTTGGGTCGACACAAAAGTGCTGTAACCTTCTGCGCACGTTACGAGCCTAAACGCGTAAGTTTGGCACATGTGGCGATCAGTCAATGCAGTCAGTATGTAGACCTACCTCAGATGCCACTGACTTTGCGCTGCTGCCTCAGATGCTACTGACTTTGCGCTGCTGCCTCGGCTTCCAGCCTTGTGCTCACTACCGCAGCCTTATCACCTGTATTGTCTCAGGTGTCATGTCTCCCTCACTCCCTCTGTCTCACATCCATTGGCACACTAGTGTAGTGCAGACTAAGACCAGCGGTCACCGTTCTCGTGGCAGGCTTGAAGTTGTAGTGTAGGAGCCGAGCCGTTCTTGAGCCGTGCCGTCTTTATGTGGCAGCATGGACGGGGCTGCTTGATATATGCTATGCGTGGGAGATGTAGTATTGGTCGACTTGGTGGGAGTCGAAAGTGCATGGCTGCTCACATGTCTGGTTGTCTGAATTCTGAGCGTCATGTGCTTTCGATTCCACCCAGGTCGACCCATACTTCATCTCCCATGCGTGGCATAGGTGCTACACAGTCCCATCCATTCTACCACAAGGTGGACACAACTTGATGTCAGCTCCTAAACGATAGATGCACCACCTTTCTCCCTCTCTTTTCTCCTATCAGCAATCCTTCTTCCGCCCCCCTTCTCTACCTTTCTCCCTCTCGTTCTCCTGTCAACCACCCTCTCTCCATCCCCATCACATCAGGCACAGCTGTCTCTCTCGGATTGGTGGACAAGCAGGGCCGCAAGAGCCTCCTCATGGGTTCGTTTGCAGGCATGGTATGATGATATAGTCGGTGGTTGGTACGGCATGTGTGATGCCATGGGATGGTGATATGAATGATGGCGTTTATAAATTCCCTCCATGGCAGTATATCAGTACTGATGCTTACCCTTTTATCATACTCTGCAACCCTTTCCTCTCCAACTTCCCCCTTTTCTAATCCACTGCCCAAGTTTCTGTTCCCTGCTCTCCCTCTCCCCCCATCTCCCCCCACCTCCCCACCCCACCAGGGCTGCTCCATGCTCCTGCTAGCGCTCTCCCTCTCCTTCCCGCCGCTGCAGCCCATAGCGGCGCCTCTCTCCGTCCTCGGCACCGTCGCCTACGTGCTCTCCTTCGCCATGGGGGCGGGCCCGGTGCCAGCCTTGCTCCTGCCGGAGATCTTCCCCTCGCACATCCGCGCGTCTGCAGTTGCGGCGGCGCTCACTACGCACTGGCTCTGCAACTTCGTTATCGGCCTCTCCTTTCTGGGGGTTGTGAGGGCCGTGGGCGTGGCGGCCGCGTATGTGGGGTTTGCCGCGGTGTGCTTTGCCGGGGTGCTGTTTGTGCGGGGCTTTATCGTGGAGACCAAGGGGCGCAGCTTGGAGGAGATCGAGAGGGAGCTGCTGGGGAGTGAGGCATAGAGGGTGGGGTTATGAGTCCTGCTAAACAGTGTGCTTAGGTAGTGCCCTTTCATCTCACTGCTATCAGCTTGAGCCGGGGTGCCCTTTGTGCGAGGCTTTACCATGGAGACCAAGGGGTTGCAGCTTGGAGGAGATCGAACGGGCGCTGCTGGGCAGTGAGGCGTGGACTTGATGGGTGCTTTGTGGGGGTGAGGTTTGTGTGAGGCTTTATTGTGGAGGCCAAGGGGCGCAGCTTGGAGCAGATCGAGAGGGAGTTGCTGGGGAGTGAGTCATGGATCAGATGGGGTTCGAGTCGCCCCTGAACAGGGTGTTGCTTGCCGCCAGTGAAGCGTGACTGCGTTGCGAGTTGGAGTAGGGAGCTGTTTGTGCGTGCGTTTGACGTGGAGACCAAGGGATGCAGCCTGGAGGAGACTGAGAGGGCCCTGCTGGGCAATGAGGCGTGGATCAGAGGGAACTTAATTTCGGTGGCTGTTTGTCCAGTGGAAAGCGGTGGTAGTTCCTGGCTGGAAGCTGCTGTGGAGGCCGGGGAGGGGAGCAGTCTGGAGGAAATTGGGAGGGCCTTGCTGGGCACCGAGATGGGGCCGCCGGTGTGTTGATGAAAGTTCCGAGTCAAGAGAGATAGGCTGTCTGAGAAGTGCTGTCTGGCTGTAATGAGCACATGCGTTGCATCGTCGTTGATGGCGTGGCGTCCCATAGTGTATTTGTAGTGACGGAGATTGGTACAACGAACCAATGCAGGGTGCGTTGTAAAATCCTGTGCGTGCAGCATTGTATTATATAGGCAGCAAGGTTGTGTTGAATGACTCTGCAGATCGCCGGTCCAGCTGACAATGCTTGTAGCGAGGCAGATCAGTCACAATCAACAACGGCCACAACTGCTTGGTGAGACGGATCACCCACTCACTGCCACCGTCTCAGCATCTGCCTCGCCCATCCCTCCCTTCCCTGCGTCATTCCTCCTGTCCGCCATCTCGACCGGCTTCGCCTTCTTCCTCCTCTCGCTTCTCGCCGCATTCGCAGGAGAGTCTCCCGCCCTCGTCTCTCCTCCCTCTGCTCTCGTCTCGCCTCCCTCCCCCCACGGGCCTTATATCGCGTGCAGCGCCATGGCTGCGCGATCAAAGCTTGGCACGCTTGCCCGTCCGCTAATAGCGAGGGCCTCACTAGCGAGCGCCTCAAGTCGCACGGTGGCTGGTTCTCGGGCGCATGCCTTTAAAGAGGCGGATCCATGTGCCTATAACGAAACGGTCTCAGCCGGGCGAGCTCATAGCGGGAACGGCGGTGAAATCGCATTCCATCAACCACACGCCCTTGGAATCCATACCGGACATCACAATCACAGATCTCACTACCCCCCCCACCAGCACCAGCAGCACCAGTGTCAGCGGCTGCACCAGCAGTGCAGGGGCCTAGCCGCCGCCCCGTCCGCCGTTAATCTAGCCGCAGAGCCGTCCGCCTTCAACGTGCTGGAAGGCGCGGCTGAGAGCAGCGGGCGCGTGCACATCACCGCGTGAGTGCCGTGCCTCCTGCCCCTCCCTCCGCTCCCTCCCTCCTCTCCCTCCCCCCTGCATCCACCCCCCTGCATCCACCCCCTGACGCTTATATACCCTGCACCACTCTGTGTACACCCCCCGCTACTCTCCCCCCCCCCCCTTCAGCTACACGACATGCGGTTCACAGCAGGCAACAGAGGCATCAACTGGCCCACCATCATCTGTATTGGTGACAGTCAAGTCAAGTTCAAGTCTGCCCCCTTCAACCCCCTACTCGTCTGCGCGTACAACGACGAGGGATCCACAGCGGCAGATTCACAGCGGCCAATTCACTGCGGGCGACAGGGAAATCAACTCGGTGCTTGACCCTTGTGTGCCATATTGTGCGCTTCTGTACCCACCGTCCCTCTTCCCCCTGGCAGGTACGACGACAAGGGCTTCACGGTGGGTGGCCGAGACATCAACTCGTCCATCATCTGCGTGGGCGACATGGCGCTCTGCTGGTCGCCCTCTAGCATGGCTGACGTCACTCCCGATAGGTGCGTTTCGCACGGCGTGGCAAGGCATGGCAAGGTATGGCATGGCATGGCAAGGCATGGCATGGCATGGCATGGCATGGCATGGCATGGTCACTTGCGGCCATCATCTGCTGGTCGCCGTCTTCTATGGATGATGTCACTCGTGAGAGCTGTGTTCTGCATCGCATCGTACGGCATGGCATATCGTGTCGTTGCATGGCATATCGTGTCGTTGCATGGCATATCGTGTCGTTGCATGGCATATCGTGTCGTTGCATGGCATATCGTGTCGTTGCATGGCATATCGTGTCGTTGCATGGCATATCGTGTCGTTGCATGGCATATCGTGTCGTTGCGTGGCATATCGTGTCGTTGCGTGGCATATCGTGTCGTTGCATGGCATATCGTGTCGTTGCATGGCATATCGTGTCGTTGCGTGGCATATCGTGTTGTTGCATGGCATATCGTGTCGTTGCATGGCATATCGTGTTGTTGCATGGCATGGCATTGCATAGCGTGGTATGGCATGGCATGGCTTGGTCACATGCGTCCATCATTGGTGGCGGTGTCTCAGCACTCTGCTGGTCGTCACCGGCATGGCTGATGTGGCGTCACTCTTGAAAGGTGCACGCTGTGTGACATTGTAACGAGGTGACTTTTGAGTCGACTGGCATCGCTGACGTGGCGTCACTCCTGAAAGGTGCGCCTGTCATGTCATGGATTTGCCCGTCGTGGAAAGGCATGGCATGGCATGGCATGGCATGGCATGGCACGGCATGGCATGGCACGGCACGGCACGGCACGGCACGGCATGGCACGGCACGGCACGGCACGGCACGGCACGGCACGGCACGGCATGGCATGGCAGGATTCCCTTCCTTTCAGCACTCGCCCTTACGAGCGCCGTGCTCCTCTCCCCCTGCCACTCCTCCAAGCCCCCCAATTCACCTTGTGCATCAGCCCCCTCTTCACCTTGTGCATCAGCCCCCCTCTTCACCTTGTGCATCAGCCCCCTCTTCACCTTGTGCATCAGCCCCCTCTTCACCTTGTGCATCAGCCCCCCTCTTCACCTTGTGCATCAGCCCCCCTCTTCACCTTGTGCATCAGCCCCCTCTTCACCTTGTGCATCAGCCCCCTCTTCACCTTGTGCATCAGCCCCCTCTTCACCTTGTGCATCAGCCCCCCTCTTCACCTTGTGCATCAGCCCCCCTCTTCACCTTGTGCATCAGCCCCCTCTTCACCTTGTGCATCAGCCCCCTCTTCACCTTGTGCATCAGCCCCCTCTTCACCTTGTGCATCAGCCCCCTCTTCACCTTGTGCATCAGCCCCCTCTTCACCTTGTGCATCAGCCCCCTCTTCACCTTGTGCATCAGCCCCCTCTTCACCTTGTGCATCAGCCCCCTCTTCACCTTGTGCATCAGCCCCCCTCTTCACCTTGTGCATCAGCCCCCTCTTCACCTTGTGCATCAGCCCCCTCTTCACCTTGTGCATCAGCCCCCTCTTCACCTTGTGCATCAGCCCCCCTCTTCACCTTGTGCATCAGCCCCCTCTTCACCTTGTGCATCAGCCCCCTCTTCACCTTGTGCATCAGCCCCCCTCTTCACCTTGTGCATCAGCCCCCCTCTTCACCTTGTGCATCAGCCCCCTCTTCACCTTGTGCATCAGCCCCCTCTTCACCTTGTGCATCAACCCCCTCTTCACCTTGTGCATCAGCCCCCCTCTTCACCTTGTGCATCAGCCCCCCTCTTCACCTTGTGCATCAGCCCCCTCTTCACCTTGTGCATCAGCCCCCTCTTCACCTTGTGCATCAGCCCCCCTCTTCACCTTGTGCATCAGCCCCCCTCTTCACCTTGTGCATCAGCCCCTCCATCTTTTGGCTCTTCCCTTCCTGCTCTTGGGCTCGTTGCTTAACTCCCCTCTCCCTTCCCTTCATGTCTGCCCCCCTGCCTCCCATGTCTGCCCCCCTGCCTCCCATGTCTGCCCCCCTGCCTCCCATGTCTGCCCCCCTGCCTCCCATGTCTGCCCCCCTGCCTCCCATGTCTGCCCCCGTGCCTCCCATGTCTGCCCCCCTGCCTCCCATGTCTGCCTCCCTGCCTCCCATGTCTGCCCCCCTGCCTCCCATGTCTGCCTCCCTGCCTCCCATGTCTGCCCCTGTCATCCTGCCCACCACCGCAGCCTGGCACTCTTTCAGCTCATTCGCCCACAGCCAGGTATGCTGCTGCTGCCGTCACGCGTGCCGTGGACAGGATGTGCATGGCAGGTGCCATGGATGGCATGTGCATGGCAGGTGCTGTGGATGGCATGTGCATGGCAGGTGCTGTGGATGGCATGTGCATGGCAGGTGCTGTGGATGGCATGTGCATGGCAGGTGCTGTGGATGGCATGTGCATGGCAGCTGCTGTGGATGGCATGTGCATGGCAGGTGCTGTGGATGGCATGTGCATGGCAGGTGCTGTGGATGGCATGTGCATGGCAGGTGCTGTGGATGGCATGTGCATGGCAGGTGCTGTGGATGGGATGTGCATGGCAGGTGCTGTGGACGGGATGTGCATGGCAGGTGCCATGGATGGCATGTGCATGGCAGGTGCTGTGGACGGCATGTGCATGGCAGGTGCTGTGGATGGGCTGGCATGGCAGGTGCTGTGGACGGGATGTGCATGGCAGGTGCCATGGATGGCATGTGCATGGCAGGTGCTGTGGACGGCATGTGCATGGCAGGTGCTGTGGACGGCATGTGCATGGCAGGTATCAGGAGCACGTTAGTTTTTCATACTCCTCATGCCTCTCATGCCTCTCATGCCTCATGCTTCTCATGCCTCTCATCTCATGCCTCTCATGCATCTCATGCCTCTCATGCATTCTTCTTCCCCACTTTCCTCCCCTATGCTTCCTTCTCTCTTCCTCCTCTCTTCCTTCTTTTCCTTCCCCACAAGACTTTTCCTGCCATTAAAGAAATCACGACACTCAATGTCCCACCTGCACCCTTCTTCCTCGACCCCTGCAGCTGCTTCCGCTGGCCTCCAACCAGCGAATCAAGCCTATCCTTCACCTCCCCCCCCCCCCCCCCCCCCCCCAAGAACTTTTGAGTTCGATTCAAAAGTCACCTCTTGGCCTCTGCTGGCCTCCAACCAGCAAATCTATCATATCCTTCACTCCCCCCCCCCCCCCCTTTCCTCCCATTCAGATCCTTCACTCTCACACCCCCTTCCCCATCTCTCCGCCATCCCCCTCAGAGCTGCTGCTCCTGGGTTCAGCTCGGCGCATCCAGCCACTGCCACCGGACCTGCCTCACCTTCTCCCTGACAGCCAGAAACCGGATTCAGTACTCAACTTCTGATCAGCTCTCCCCCTCGCTCTCCCCCCCGCCCCCCCCCGGTCTTCCCCCATGCAGAGCTGCTGCTGCTGGGGTCGGGGCAGCGCATCCAGCCCGTGCCAGTGGAGCTGCGGCAGTTCGTGAGGGCGTGTGGCATGAAGCTGGAGGTGCTCTCCACAGTGAGTGCTGTCCACTGTGAGTGTTGTCCACTGCGAGTGCTGTCCACTGTGAGTGCTGTGTGGTGTTGGTAACTTGGTAGGTAGCGCTCCCAGCCTGCCTGCTTCCCTCTGCCCGTCCCTCTGCACTCCTCTTTCTCTCCCTCACTTTGTCCCCCAAACTTCCTTCCCACCTCTCCCCTCCATCGCTCACCAAGGGTGGTTTTTGCCCACACTTCCCATTCATACGACCACGAAGTACCTTGTTGTCTCCCCGTGTTCTCTATTCTCCCCGTGTACTGCTTGTGGGACAAGATGCGACTGCTGGTTCT